CCGTGCGTGCCAGCAACAGCAAGCCAGTGACACGACCGAGACAATGCTCGTGAGACAGGACATCGGGTGAAGCTCACTGAGATAGCTTGCCATGGAAACGTACGCGCCGAGTCGCCTGAAGCCGTTCGCGCATCCGCCTTTGCGGAAAAGTCGCGTCGCCGCGGAAGCGTTCGCGGCATCGCCTTGGAAGCAAGCTCCGCGTGAGCCGCCGAGAGCGTTCGGCATCGCCTTGGAAAAGTCACGCGTAGCCGCCGGAAGCGGTCGCGTGCATCCCCTTGGAAAAGTCCGCGTAGCCGCGGAAGCGCGTCGCGGCGTCGCCTTGAGAAAAGTCTGCGTCGTAGGCCGGAACAGCATCTCAGGTCCGCACTCAAAGTCCGGGTTCGTGTGCAGGAAGGCACCGCCCGTTTGCCGGCCCGAGTACATAAAGTAGGACAAAAAGGCGCGACGTGTCCACCCACTTGTCGCGCTGTCGCCGTGGAAAATCGCGCGTAAGCCGCGCGGGAACGGCGCTGCGTCCGCCTTGGAAAAGTCGCGCTTTAGCCCGCCGGACGAGCGTCGCGCGTCGCCTTGGAACAAGTCGCGCGTAGCCCGGCGGAAGCGGGTGGTGCGTTAGTGCGCGCCGTCGCACTTGGAAACAGTCCGCCGTCAGGCGGGCGGGTCGGCGGGGTGGGGCGTTGAGTGGGGGGGGTGGGGAGGCGGGGGGGGGTGCTGCGGCGTGTGGTGGCGTCCGGGGCGGGTGGGGGTGAGGAGAAGTTGGGGGGGGGGGTCGGGCGGGCGTGGGGGTAGGGTGCGGGTCTGGGGCGGGGTGGTGGATGTGGTGGGGAGGGCGGGGGGTCGGGGGTGGGGGCGGCGGGGGGGAGGTGGGGTGGGGTGGGGGGTGGGCGGGGGGGGGGGGGTGGTGGGGGGTGGGGGGGGTGGGGGGGGGGGGTGTGGGGTGGGTGCGGGGGGGTGCGCCGTGGGGGAGAGAGGGGGGTGCGGGCGGGGGGGGCGGGCGTGGAGCGCGGCGGAGGGAGCGGGGCGCGTGCGCGAGTGTGAGAGAGAGGGGTGCGGCGGGGGAGAGGCGCGCGGAGGAGGGCGGCGGGGGGGGGGGGGGGCGGCGCGGGGGGTCGGCAGCGGGTGTGGGGAGAGGAGAGGGTCGGCGGAGGCGCGCGGGAGGAGCGGGTGCGGGGCGCGTCGGCGTGTGAGAGAGAGGGGCGGCGGGGGGGGGGGGGGGGGGCGCGTTGGGGGAGGGGCGCGGCGGGGGGGGGAGGGGCGGGGGTCGGGCGCAGTGCGGGCGGCGTTTGAAAAGGTGCGGGGGGGCGCGCGGGGGCGTGAGCGCGCGGGGAGGAGCGGGGCGGGCGGTGCGCTGACTGGAAGCGAGTGGGCGGCGGCAGGAGAGTCTCGGGGGCGGACGGCAGGGGCGGCCGTGTGTATTTAACGTCGCGGTGTCGCGGTGAAGCTTTCGCGGGGCGGGGAGGGGGGGCGGGGGGGGTGGTGAGGGGAGCGAGGGGTCAGGGGCAGCGGGGTGCTGGTGGCGGGGCGTGGAGCGTGGGCGGCGGGGGGGGGGGGGCTGTTCGCTCCGCGTGAGAACGAAACGTTGCAGGTGCTAGTATGCGGATTCGTTCGGGGACGGATGGCGGGGGATCTTGACATGCGATCGGATCGTGGTACTGGCGGGGGAAGGGGAGGGGGGAGGCGAGGCGGACGGGGGGGGGGGGGGAGTCACGGGCGGTGGTGCAGCTCAGAATTTCTCGGCGGGGCTGTGGTGCGAAAGAGGCGGGAGAGAGACGCCGGTGTGTCGTAGGGGAAGAGACTGGGTGTGTGTGGGCGGAAGAGAGAAGGGATGGCGAGGGGGGTGCTGGGGGGTGCGGCGGTGCGAGGCGGCGCGAGTGTCGGGGGATCTTCTGGACGGCGGCGTTGGGGGGGGGGTGATCGGGATCGGGGAGAGCGGGGGGTGGGGGGGGGGTGGGCGGAGGGCGGGGGAGACGGGGGGGAGCTCGGGAGTCAGAGTCGGGAGTGCGGGGGGTCGGGGGGGGGCGGGGGGGGGAGTTCGGAATCGGGGTGGGTGATAATAAATTTGGGGAAGGGGAATATAAGTCGTGGAAGATTATGATCTTAGTTGAATGTGCGTTTGCGTCGTGCGCGAGAGCGGGCGGGCGCGGTGTTGCAGGGGAACGCTATGGCTGAACGCGTGGGGGGGGGGGCAGGGCGGGGTGGTCAGAGAGCTGCGGGGGGGGGCGGGGGGAACGTCCGGGGGGTGGGGGGGGGGCGATAGGCAGGGTGCGTCGAGCGGGGAGGCGGAGGCGCGGGCGGGGGCGGGGTGGGGGGGAGGGCGCGGGTGCGTGGGCGGAGGGTGGGGGGGGGGGAGAGCGGTCGAGCGCTCTATTGGACAGAGCGAGCGGAGCGAGGGTGGGGGGGGTGACGGGGTGTTTATGGTGTGTGTAGGGGCTCGAGCGCGTGGGTGGAGCGAGGGGGTCGGGCGGCGAAGGGGCGAGGGCGTGGGTGGATTGCGCCGAGGTGGTCGTGCGGTCCGAGTGCGTGAGGCGTCCGTGGTCGCGGTTGCGCGTGGCGCGGGCTGGGGGGGGGCGCGTGCGCGGTGGCCGGTGCTGGGTGCGGAGGACGCGAGGGTTGGCGCGTGGGGGAGCGGTGCAACGAGGGGGGGGGGTAGACTTGGGCGAGAAGCGTTGGAGGCGCCACATTTTGAAATTGGGTATAGTTGGTGAGGCGTGGCGTGATGGCGTCCGGGGGCGAGGTAGGTAGAGTGAGCGGTGGGGGCGCGGGGGCGGCTGATTTGAAGGCAGCGGGCGTGGAGGGTCGAGCTATCTTTCGGGGGGGGGCCACGGGTGGCGGGTGGAATTGTTTGGGGCGAGAGAAGAGTCGGGGCGGCGGAGAATTGCGCGAGTAGGTCATTGGCAGGGGGGCGGGGGTCGAGGACGGGGACGGTGTTTGCACTCAGTTGTGGTGGTGATGTGAATGAACTAAGCGCTTAGGCGGGGGGGGGGGGGGGGGGGCGGGGGGGGTTTGAATGGTGTAGGAGAAAAGGAGATTATGGCCCAAATTGAGGGGTGAGAGGGGGGGGAGGGTTGGGGCAAGTGAGAGTGAGGAAGTGAGGTTAGGGGTATAGGGATGCGAGGCAGGAGAGCGGTACGTGCGTGGTGGGGTGTGCAGCACTCGGTCGGTGGGTGTCGTTTTACGGGAGAGGATGTGCCGAGGTTGGACAGGGAGTATGCTGTTAATGCAAGAAATTGGATGTCTGCTGACTGCGGGACGGGGGGCTGGTAGGCCGCGGAGGGGTATAAGAGCTGGTCGGGGGGGGGTGAGGTGAGGTGGGTAAGGGCCGGGGAGCGTTAAAGATTTTGACGAGAAGAGGCGGATGTCAGAAAGGCGGCGGGCGGGGAGCGGATAGGGAGAGGGGGGCGCGTAGTGTGGTGAGTGTGGCGAGAGAGCGCCAGGGTCGGCGTGGACGCAAAGCGGGGGGGGGGTGGGGGTGGGGTGAGTGAAGCGCCAGGTCTACGGGGGTGCACAAATTGTGGATCATTTCGTGCGTGTGAGGGAGAGGATTGATTAGTGTGGCGAGGTGATAGCAGGAGGGGGCGAAGTGCGGTGCGTATGAAGTAGGCGGGGGCGATGGGTGGTGGCTGCAAGTGGAAGAGGCTGGGGCGTGTCGGTTGGCGTGTGGGAGGGTCGTCACTCGGATGTGTGGTCCGTGTGTTTTGAGGGGGGGGGGCACCCGTTGGGGAGCGATGGGGCGTCCCGAGAGGCTGGGGAGGCGTAGGGTGTGGCGGAGTGGCCGGGGTCGGTGCCTTCGTGAGCGTGGGCGGCGTGCGCGGGGGGGGGTCGGCGGTCAGGAGGCATGGTGGCGGTTGGGGGCGGGGGGCGAGAGGCGGGAGGTAAACTCAGGAAGCATTTGACCCAGCGAGGTTTTGGGAGGAGTGTGGGGGGGTGGGGAGGTGTGTTACTGCTATGCTCCCATATGGAACGTGGGGGGGGGCCTGATTTGGGGAGCCACGCCAGGTCTGGGGGGCGGTGCACTTCGGAGGGCGCAGGCGGGGCGAGTTTTTGGGAGAAGAAAGGTGGGGGAAAGTGTGCCGTAGGCAGGGGGTCAGGGGGTGGAGAGCGTGGATTGTTGCCCGTCATGTTGGTATGGCGTGAGAGAATAAGGGAGGGGGCGGTGAGGCGGGTTTTGATAGGTTGTTGGAGGGAGAAAGAAAGAAGAATTATGTGCGAGAAGGTTATGGGTAGGTGTGTGGATTGGAGAGTTTAGGGGGGGGGGTGGCAGAGAAGGAGACGGCGCAGGTGGATAACAGAGAACAGGTGTTGTTGGGGTGGGTCAGCAGCTCGTGGCTTGTCGGTGTCGTGGGTGTTAGCGGGAGAGGAGTGGGGGGTTGGGTATTGGAGCAAGCGGTGAGTTTAAGGTGCGAATAGTTGGGTATGTGTCCTGTCCAGAGCGGGGGGGCGGCGGGAGTGAAGAGGAGAGTGGGTCGGGCTATATGGGTAAGTGAAAGTGTTAACGAAGAGGAGGCGAGGTGTGCCGGAAGCGGCGAGCGATAGAAGTCCTGAGTTTAGTGCGGGAATGGCGCGAGTTGAGCGTACAAAGCGGGTGCGTATAGCGCCATCTACCGTCACAACATTGTGATTCATTTTAGTTTATAAAATTAGTATTGCGATATACGAGATGGCGAACCGTGTGCTAGGGGCCGGCCTAGAAAAACTCGAGAGGCGGAGAGGTAAGACACTTCCGGAGTGGCAACAAGGTTAACGTTTGGAGCAAGGAGAGGTGGGGGGGGTGGGGGGGCTGTGTTATGCGGCAGGAAACACCAATTGTCACGTCGGTAGGCATGGGAGCGATCTATGGTGGGCGAGAGTGAGGCGCGTTGATCCTGCGTCAATCTTACACGTTAACGACGATCAGGAGCTCCGCTTTTATAGGCAGTTCATAAATCTGAATATTGATAAAATAGCGTATTGGGGGGAGGGGGGGGTTGCGTTCAGCTACAGTGGTCTATTGACACTTCAAGTGTCGGTGAGCTACCAGGGGTCGTGTGGACGAGCGTGTGCGAGTGTCGAGGGTCCCGTAAATGAAGTGGTCGGTCGTTCGAGTGTGCGAGATCGTGCGCCGTGATTTTGTTTTCTGATTTTTCCACTTTTAGCTCACCTGTGAAAACAGTCGGTCAAGCCTGCAGCTATGAGGCCGAGTGGGTCCGTCGGGTTAGCGGGCGTGTGCGGCGGGGCCGAGTGCGTGCGGGGGGGGGAGGGTCGAACATTGTGCGCGTGGGTGTCAGACGGGATAACTCGAGGAGGACGCGGTTGGTGCGGCGCGAGCGAGTTGTGAAGAAGTTGTTATATTGGGGGTGTACTGGGCCGTGGGGATGCTGGGCGGGCTGCGAGGTAGGGGTAGAGAGCGTGGGGGGCCGGTGAGTGTGTGAAGCAGCGGTGCGGAGGGGTGCGGAGGGTGCGCTGACTTTCGGGAGCCGAGCATCGGGCAATTTTTGTGGGCCGGAAGAAATGGCAAGTGTGCCATTAGTCATTCAGGGTTGAAACGGGATTTTCTCAGGTTGGTATGTGAATGCAATAGTAGGGGGTTTGAAATTTAAAAAAAGAAAATATGCACAATTAGGTTAGGGGGTTGGGGGCAGATTAGTAGGTAGCGGATATGGTATATAGACGAGCAGGAGGACGATCGGTGTGGGGGTGTGCAGCACGGTGGCGGGGGTGTTTCGCTTTTGAGGGCGGAAGGAGGCGAGGTTGTGACGAAGGATGGCTTGGGGTGAGGAGGGTGCGAGAGAATGGGGGTATTTGCGTTCTCCGAGGCCGTGGGCTGATAGAGAGGGGGGGAGGCAGGGTGCGAGTGGGGGGAGATCGGGGTCATCGGGAGGTGTAGAGTGAGAAGGGTGTTTCAGAGAGACAGTGGTGGGGGTTGTTAGAGGGCGCGGGGAGGCGGCGGGGCGATGAGGACTGGATGTAGGTTCGAGGAGAGGAGTGGCGGGCATGGCGTGGCTGACGAGGAAGTGGCAGGGGGGGGTTGGGGGGGGGGGGTATAGCGGGCCGATCTACGAGATCACAGGAATGTGGTGAGTTCATTTGGTTTATAGAGATGGGTGAGGTTAGGTGGTGCGGGCGGGGGAGGAGGGGACAGGAGTGGCCAGGGAGTCGTTTGACGGTGATTTAAGTGGGACGGGGCGGGGGGGGTGGGGGGATGGGGGTGGTGGGGGCTGGGGCAATGAGAGGGAGAGAGGGGCGAGGGCGTTGGCGTGTACTTAGCGGCGTCGGTCGAGTGTGTGGTGTCGCTTTTTTGGGTGGGTGGGCGGGGGTAGCGAGTGTCGGATGGAGGCAGCTTGGGTCGAGTTCTAGGAGTTGGAGAGGGCGTGGGTGAGAGTTGGATTGGGCTTTCGGGGGGGGGCTGATAGCGATGGTGGGCGTGAGAGTGATGTAGCTGCATGTTGGAGCCGAGTGAGTCCCGAGCATGGCGAGGAGGCTGGGGTGGGAGGAATTTCGCAATGATCGTGTCCGTCGTGGGCCGTGGGGCGCGGGGGGTGGGGGGGGTGTTTGTCGTGGGCGTGAGGGGGTGGGGGGCCGGGAGGCGTCCGTGGGCGGTGGCCGCGGTGGCGAGACAAGGTGGGGCGGGTGGCACAAGAGTGCGGTGTGAGAGGGGGGGGGGCCGCTCGACGTCGTCACGAGATGTCGGGGACGGGGGGGGGCGTAAGTCGCGAAGAAGGCGAGGTGGAGGTCGAGAGCTGGGGGGCGGGGGGGGTCAAATGGTCCAGGAGAGGTTAATAAGAAGGGGGGCGCGAACATGGTCGACTGCTTGAACGTTAAGGGGTATGGAGAGAGGGAAGCGGGGGAGCATTGGGCGGGGCAGCAGAATGCTAAGGACTGCGTCGACCTGTAGGCTCTGGTGATAGCGGCTGGTATAGCATCACTTGTGAGAGAAGAGCGTGATGCGAGCCTGGCCGAAAGGATTGGGAGGGGCGGGGGGGAGCAGGCGCTCAGGAGAGTGGTCAGAGTGGGGGCACAGGGCAGATTTTAGACATTTCTGAGACATGTGGGGTGGGGGTGCGTGAGGGGCGGAGGGGGGGGAGAGGGGGCGGATTACAACAAAGAACTGTATTTTGCTGGTGCAGCGGGACCTAAGGCATGTGTAGTGCCGTTATTGAAAGGCGAGCCAGTAAAATATGGCGTTTCTAGTAGCATGGGCGAAGGAGTGAGAGGGGTGCGATGAAGCCTGTTTGAGCCCGTCGAAGAGAGGGAGGGTTAAACATTGATTGGGTTGACTGGTGGTAACAAAGGACTGAAAGCCTGCGTTTGCTCATTTATTAAGCGCCGATACCCGGTGTCTGTCAATGGAGGCCTAGACTAGCAGTTGCACAGTTTAATTGGCAGAAGGGCGAAAGGTGTTTGTTGAGAGCAACCGGTTGACGCTCCCTGAAGATACATATGATTTAGTCTAAAGCGGATGGTCTGTCTATAGCGACCTGCCCCCTAGGCCTGAACGGCTAATGCAGTGAATCACGTGATGCTCGCATGAGGCAAAACACGGCCAAAGCCCTCATGGCTGCACGCTCCTCTAATCATAATTGTGGGCCTGCCAACCTGCCAAGGCACCTGTTAACTCACCACGCCTGTAGCTAAAAACCTTATCGCGCTGGCTGCCGCTGAAATATACTTACTTGGATTTTAGCCTGTACCTACTGTAAGCGATTTCTAGAATTGATGCCATCTTTGCATTTATTGATTACACTTGCAGCGTCATACTCGCGGGCAACATACCCTAGTTAAAATTAGATTATTTATTTCTCATGTAATCTTTAGTTTAACACGATATAAATAATAACTAGTACCCATATCAATTATGAATATTTACTTTCATCTTGAATTACTTAAACATATATCATGTAGCTATGGCCGTGGGTATCTACATTTTACCAGCTTGTGCGAACATAAGCTGTTACTCATCGAAATATTCAGAGACACTATATAATTATGATTTCTATGACTGCTTACACTCAGTGGCAGTAGGCAAGAAAGTATTATTATGAGGGGCAGTAAAAGCATCAATCGCTGGTTAATGTTTTTTTAATAAATTAGAGAGACGAGAGAGAGCAAAAGTCTAAGATAAAGAGAGAGAGCAGAGTAGTAAATTGAAGACGGGCGACAGGAAAACGGCGTTGATACCGGTGTGTATGCGACGGAAACGGGGGGTACCAATTAGCTCGTGCGGAGATGGGTCAAGGGGCATGCGGAGGTGGGGAGGGCAGGGGTGAGGGAGGTCGAAGCCAGGGGGAGGGAGATGGACGGGTAAGGGGTGCCGAAGTGAGAGGCCAAGGGTGGAGATGAAGTGGGAGGCAGGGGCGCACGGAGGTGGGACGCAGTGGGGACGGCGAGGGGAGAGGGAAGGACTCCCCCCCCCTCAATTTAAACTTTGGAGATCCCTATGCCTCATATGTTGAAAATCTGTTATAGATAGATAAAAATAGGATAGCTGTGAATCATGACACAAATTCGCAAGTGCAAAGCAAGTATCATTTGAAGTAAAAATAAACCAAAAATCCATTTTGGGGTAGAGATAGCGAGCGTGTCCTTAACAATCCATGTGACGCAACTTGCGTAATCTGCATATCTGCGCCTAACAAATGTGTCACTACGCACGACTGAAATTTGACGTTTATAACCGTAGCAACATACCCCAGATGAGCCCAGTCGCTCTGCGGCTCTTGTTCTATTCTTTGGTCATTGCCTGTCCTGTTTATCATTGCCTGCCATGTCTATCATTGCCTGTCCTGTTTACCATTGCCTGTCGTGTTTATCTGTTATGTCTATCATTGTCATTCATGTCTATCATTGCCTGTCCTGTCTATCATTGCCTGTCCTGTTTATCATTGCCTGTCATGTTTATCTGTCATGTCTATCATTGTCAGTCATGTCTATCATTGCCTGTCATGTTTATCATTACCTGTCATGTTTATCTGTCATGTTCATCACCTCGTGTCGTTACAGGACCAGGAGACGGTGCTGGCGATCGTGTCCGGGTTTCTCCTCAAGCTGCAGCGGTGCTACCCTGACGACTTCGACGCCTGCGTCGCCAACATGGACCCCAAGCAGCGCGATCAGATTCACAGGGTAATGCAATATTCCACAACTTGATCTCCCCCGAGAGCGCGTGGACCTGCAGGTGAGCAGCGTATGTGCCACGGGTTGGTTTTGTTTGTCCCTCGAGATTTCGCCGCTGTTCCAGATGTTACGCTACCCCGTTCCTAGCCATAAGTTACCCTATCGCGTCTCAGTCACTGCGTGGCGGGAAGCTCACGACGTCCGGGTTGGGCTAAGCAATTCCTTACTACTCGTGTTATGATGCATTTGGAATTTGTTACGTTAGCGGCTTGTTCACGTTTACCTCACGCACCGCACCCGTAGGATTTATATGTTATACGTGAAAGTTGCTGTTACGTGTTTTTACCAGTGTGTATGTTATGCTTAGCGAATAATAGCGTGCAGTTTCTCCCAGTATCCTTCCTGAAGATATTCATCCCCCCGAGCTTGAATTCATTCCTGATGTGTTCGCAGAATATATTACCAAGAGTACCATAATAGAACATTTCTCATTTCTATTATGGACTCTTGATATATATGTATATGCACTGTCACTGTCAGTTTCTAGTCATTTTATATCGGTAGGGAAAGCGGTGTCACCAGGTATCTTTCATGAAGTTCTATACAGGAACCCATTTACTTGTATCGGGAAGTTGTGAGTTTGTGTTGACTAGTTGATCTGTTTTAAATATGCAGTTCAGCAGTCACCATTTACCTCTGATGACATTTTGAGTTTACAACTAGGGTTTACAACTAGGGTTTACAACTAGGTTAAGCATTCTCTTGTTACTGCTGTCGATTGTGTGTATTGATATGTTTACCTCGGGATCTAAGTTTACATGTCTTACATAAGACGATTGCTGCAAATGTTAGGCAGTCTCCAGGGATGTTAAGAAGTTAAACCCCTCCCCCACGCATACATGCGCCCTGGCACACATACATTTACATACGCATACATTCATGCATGTGCGCATGCACGCACATCCACACGCCCACGCAGCGTATGCACACATTTACGCACACATTTACGCATGCACGCACACATTCATGCATGCACGCACGTCCACACGCACACGCAGTGTAGACACAGCCGCACACATTAACGCATGCACGCCCGTCCAACATACGCACACATTCATGTATGCACGCATGCACGCACGTCCACGCGCACACTATAGTTGTGATCTAGCGGTATATGCCAAGCTTCCAATTGGAAAGGCTTCAATCAATGTACAGTCAGTTGTCTCGTGGTACTGCCGCCGTACCATTTGGTTCTTAAATGTTATTTATTATTTGGTTGGTTATATACATCCTTTTTTATAGCGTGTTTTTTTTTATCGTTCCACGTGACCGATTGGTCTTGATGTCAGTCACGCGTACAGCTTATATGTTCTTGCATTATTGTAATTATTGGCGCAGTGAGAAATGTGTATGAGTGAGTGAGCGAGAGTGTGAGAAGGCTGTGGTATGTGCAGCCAAAAGCGAAACAGTGATATTTCACCTTGTGAATTTCACGCAAATTTTCGTCCGGCGACGTCACTTCCATCTTTTATGCGCATATGCAATTATGCATACATATATATATATTATATATATATATATATATATATATATATAATATACACATGCATATACATACATATATATATATATATATACATACATAATACATACGCATAATATACATATATGTATTTGCATGCCACGGGAATTTGTGATGTGGTGAAAATTTTCACCTTCACGTTTTGTTCTAAAATGATTATGGTGCGACCAATGAGAGTTTAAGTGAATGCCGGTCTGTTTCCATCAGAATGTACTTTTGAACTGCTCACATTCCCCTTTACGAAAGCATTTATTATATATGTAGCAGAAACCAGCGTGTATAACATTCCATATCAGCTGTAGGTGCTGGTTGTCAGTGTTCGTTTATATTATCGACCAATTTTACTCCGTCCATGTTTTACCTCGTGCCTCATTTCAGTTAAGCCAAAAATCGGGGTGCCCTAGAAATTTTGATAATATGACGCTATACTGTCCTCGGACGCCTAGAATAGCGTCCGATTATAATTTTTTTTAGGGTCCAATTATTGGTAATGTTACAGTGGGACGTTGTTGTTGTTATTACATAATGCGCATGCTGTTGATCTCACGTCGCGCATATTTCCTTAGGCTCAGTCCACTCCACTGATTTGTGGTACCTTCAGACTATAATTTGAAACTTTAGCATATATTTAGACTATAGCTAGGGTTTGACCATAGCGAGTGGAGTGAATCTATGTTTTCCTACGTGAATCTCACAATGTGAAACTGGATCAATTTTGCATGACACGGTGTATGTACCAGAATTTCCTGGCAATCAATGCGTATGGAATAAAAACAATGTCACAATTCTGTTATAGGTACTGCCGGGACTGGTGTTGACATGCATGGAAACTGCTATAGCGTTTTCATGAAACTTTATAAAACTCAAGAATGCATTGTCAACGGTTGATACATACGATACATTCCCTTGTTAAATGATTACTTGTGTATTGTTGATATAGCTGTGGACTTTTAAAACATTTTTACACAGAATATTCTGCATTACATAGTTATGTTGTCACTGCTAGTTATTCCCGATTATTACCCGGTTAGATTTGGCACGCAACTAATGATTATTTACCTACACAAAGTTATTGTATAAACGTGTAGATCTTGTGTGTTATCGCAGCATGATCACAACCCATATGCCCGCGGATTTTGGTGCAATAAATTTGACTTGAAGGTACATGTTAATACGTGTTTGCTTTTCTACGTTCATTCACCACACTATTCAACACTCCTCAACATTCGCCAACACTCTTCAACATTTCTCAGCATTCGCCAACACTACTCAACACTACTCAACATTCGCCAACACTTCGATCTTTTCCTCGATCTCTGCGCGGCATGAGTAAAATTCACAAGAGTTATTTCTGCATTAAAAATAATCTTTATTTTGCATATAATGATATTCTGCAGATTGCACATACATAATACGAGCTGAACTGCTTTACGGTTACTGACAAAGGTAAAGTACTTGCAAACAGGTAGTACGAATCAACAAAAATGTATGCTTAACGCCAATACACATGCATGTCCCGCGCAAAAATAACCTGTCGCCTTGACAACTGAATAGAATGAGAACACTGAAAGGCTTGACATACAGGTAGATTGAGAAAGCACAGAACCCTCCTGATGGACAAAACTAGCTTCCGGCATAACCCCATTAAAACTACTAGACTTGGCCATTTTATTATGTATCGTGTAAACTACAGCAGCAACATTGCTTACGTCAGCCCTCACAATTAGTAATAAAAAAACTCTGTAGATATTGCATGCACACTCTTATCAAGAATGAAAGACATTACCATTTATCCACAGTTTTGCACGTGAGACATTTTGCATATTCACAGTGTATAAAATCTGCCAAAAACGGACAGTTGGGACATAACAGTATGCGATTAAATCGGGAGTAAGATAATAATAGATTATCATTTATTAAAGGATTTTATTAAGAAATTTAGGAAAGATTATCCCTTGTTTTCTTACTCTTTATGAGATGCATGTCCACGAAACGGGAAATAGGACTGTTCACATGTATAATATACCAGTTATTTTCGCAATCCACACTCGGGCTGAAGAAATCGCTTGATGTAACTACTGGTGAGCTACTGCTGTTATGTACGCGTAATTCTAATAACAAACAAACAAAACCCAACAACAGAAACAGAAACTAACAGGAAACCAAACAAAAACATACATACTCAACTCTGAGATTGATTCGTTCCTGGTATGTACGAGCAAAAAGCCATAACTCCCAATACAAAAAACTCGCAATTCATACTACATGCTACCAAGAACCTACTGCTAATTATTAATTTAGTGATGGTAATGGGACCTTGATACTAAATATACTGCATCCTAATCTGTGTTATTCTAAGTGCTTCTCATGGTTTAGTGCATACTTGATACAGTTGTAATAATCCCCAATCCACACATGCAGATATCACGCTAACACACTATATCATATAAACACTATAGCTCTGTAAGCCCAACGCATTCATTTGCATATTGCATGTACTTAGTGCACACCTGTTACCGAGTGTCTCGATCACCACGTTATGACACTTCCGTTATAGAATGCGCCTATTATATCATACCATCAAGCCATCACATATGTATATAAGAACGTGTACTGAGAATAGTAAAATTATGCATCTACTGTTTGTTCATTCGCAAAATAGGAGATTCATTATTGTAGAACACGTGTTCATAGGCCCTACATGAGCAAATCTTGGGTGAAACTAGGGAAAAACAGCTTCAGTTTCAACCCATATTTAGCACTTTGTATAATAAATCGAAAACACAAGTGTTTGATTAAAACCATAAAACTATAGTCGCAGCATTACGTATCACACATGCAACATTATTGTCATTTGCAATTCATCCTCTTCCAAGATGTACAAAGGACAAAACCTTAATATTGTAACTTCATGTTCATGTAAGTGGCAGTCACTATTTCATTCACCGCACCAGCATCATGGCACTATGTTTAGTATAATAACGTGCACATACAGAAGACAGGGGACCTTACCCCACTACCACCCACTATGTATCCATTCACAACTTCCAGCACGACTAGATTTTCCAGCGAGCGTAAATCACTATTTCATTTGCTAACTTGGCCCTGTAGTCAGAAACAAAATTGATCTTAACATTAATCTTAATGCTACCTTTTTCTCGTTGTAGACCGTTGATGGTAAATATGGTAAAGTTACTAGTTCCTTATTCACAGTGTATAGAGGTCTGAGAACAATTTTGGCAAGCACCTAGCTTGCCACTATATATATTTGGTACGGTCACCTGTCCCCCACATACAAGATGTTAGATGCATAGAACACGGGCAAATAATAATAATGCCAAATATCGATGCTGATGTACCAGTAATAATGTAACTATTACAATAATTAAATGATTAATTATAAATAACAATAACTATAAATAATTAT